ATTCATTCCCACGCTTAGTCCTAGTCCTTAAAGTATGGTCTAAATTCATCAACACGTGGTAAGATATACCCATGATTATGGTGTCTTCAAGGATCACACAAATATCTTACAAAAATCCAAACCAAGTCATTTAAACCAACCAACACAAATCAAGCATAACAATTTAAACAATAACTAAAACAAGTAAATAAATTAAGCACACAAAGAAAAGGAGTTAAAGCATGAATTAACCCACTTACATTGAATTAAGCTTTTCCCTTTTTCTTTTCCTTTTTCCCTCTTTTCCTTCTCTCCTTTCCTTTCTCTCTCTTTTTTTTCCTTTCTCTCCTCACGGTTTTACCTTTCTTTTCTCTCTTTTGGTGGCTTACGGGATGGGCTTTAAAATTGGTCTAAATCCTTTCATCTTTTCACTCCTCTCTTATTTATATACTTGCCTTCTTCCTTCTAGAATGGTTATAAATGGCTAAGTGTAATTGGCTTAAGTGTAAAATGAAAGGATGACTAAGGAGATAGGTGGCAAATTTGGAGAGGAAAAATGGCGTGACTTGGCTCAAATGGTTTTAATGCATTGATTAGGTGTCCAACTTGGTCCTAACCATGTCATTAGGCTAACTAAGTCATTGACTAACTTGATTTCATATGGCTAACTCATTTCATTGGAATTTCTATTTTGAAATTTTTGAAATTCTTCTCCCGAAATTCTAGCAGAATGCATTTCAAAACAACACTCACCCTAATGGACATAACTCTTACTTTATAGGTCCAAAAATTATCAAATTTTATAGAGGGCTATTCAACACATAGATGAACAACTTTTATTGTTTAAGGTTCACCCAAAAAAGTCCCTAAAGTCCATAAATAAATCTTGCAAGATTCGGGCAGAATTTTGCTCTAAATTTCGAAAAATTTCTTTTAATCAATTCGGAAATTTTCCCAAATTAAATCCCAATTTTTCTAAAGTTTTAAATAAATTTCTTATCATTATCCTATATCCCAAATACTTAGAAACACCCCAAAGGATAATTACTTAAATTGTTTGAAATTTTTCCTCCTGTTATTTATGACGTAATCGTCGAATATACCGTTATTATAAAGTCTCTTTTGAACCCATTCATACTATTACTTTTAAAAATATGTTTAAATTTCATGGAGGTTACAATACGTGTAGATATAGGGAATGGGATGCTAGTGGTATTCCATGTAAGCATGCAAGTAATAAGCCTTTATGAAAGGTAACCCTATACATTATGTTGATCTTTGTTTCAAGAAGTAGAGATATATGAGAACATATTTGAATGGTCTTGAACCTTTGAATGACTTCAAAATGTAACTTAGGAGTGAAGGTCTTGTAGCCCCCTCCTTATAAGAAAATACTAGGAATGTTAATTCATTTGGCAAAGTTAACTTGTTACTCTTGTTGTTTTTTTTCCCATTTTTTTCTTTTACTTTTGACAATTAAATAATTATGGTACATGATTTTTAAAATGAAAAGCTGAAGAAAAAAAATGAGAAAAGCTTAAGATGAAGAAAAAAGAAATCCAAACAAAACATTCAAGCTAGGAGTTCAAATGTAAAGTCAAAATTATTATGCTTATGGCCATATAAAATAACATGCAAAATGAAGGGCCAAGAGACTGCAAATCCTAGTAAAAATCATGTAAGTGAACAAACTTGATATGCTAGCATTATACTATTGGTTTATCTAACTTATTATATGTGTGGTACGTTTAGAGTAAAAGAGTAAAGCCTATAAAGAGTTAAACAAATAGTCCTACTTTCAAACAAGTAAAATTACTAGTAAGTATAGTTTAACTTAATATTGATAATTTTATTTTTAATTTAATTCCCTACAATATACATTTGAAAATCATTATTATTGTAAGCTAAAAGAGGAAGACCTCCAAAGCAAACTACTACAATTTCATAAAATTTTAATTCGGATAAACATGTACAGTTATATCTATTATCCCCTTTAGACCTCCTTGGAATTTCAAATCTTCAATCCTATATAGACCTTTCTTCTCTTCGAGATCCGCAATCTCTACTAAAGCTAACAAATTATAACTATAAAGGTAAGATACAACTACAAAGGTTAAAGAATATAGAGAGAAAAGAATAGTCAACGTAGTTGGAGTGTATATAAATGACAAAAATGGTAACATCTATTCAAAGACAAGTGTTATGTGTTTTTTTTCCAACATATTTATGTAATATGAAAAGAGTTTTAATTTATCTCTTCTTACTATTGATGTTGTAGCAGATCGTTGGAGGTAGAGTTGAAATAATTTTTAGCGGCAAACGGATTCCTCTACCAATCGTTACACTAATTACAAGGCAAAGTGTGAACAACATAGTTTCAAAGACATAAAAGTTCAAGTCGAACCATAAAGGTCGCTTAACCACATAGAAATATTTTGAACTATTCAATTAAATGCCTTTTTTGGCCCGTCCGTTGCATTTTACAGACCTATTATATGGTCTAGTTCTTAGAATATTGTGATTATGGAATATGACATGTGCATTTTGTGATAAACAATGTGTAATGGGCCGTGTAATGTTTTCTTTATGAAAGTTGAAATTATCGTTGTGTATTGTTATATTGGGATCGATCGTTATATGGTAAATTTATCATTAGATTTTTATCTTAAAAAGTTTGTGTTTTTCCTCTTTATATGTTTTGTAATTAAAACTTGACTATAGCCTTTTCATTAAACAAGTGCCAATATATTAGCCATCAATGACACATGGCACTAGAAGAAGAAGATAAACCGACTCAAGATCGAAAAATGTCTAAAACAAGCCTTAAAAGCTACTATAGAGATTGAAATTGAATGGTATTGAAAAGTTCATAATTATAATATGACAACGACACTTTTTGAAACAATATATAGAGATAGGTCCAACAAAGCATTTCACTTTTCTTTCATTCTATAAAGTCATAGATATAAGACATTGCATAATTTAATACATTACATTAGCATAATTGTAATACATTAAAATAGTATTTGTAGAGGTTAGTACCACTTTACAATAGCATAATTTAATACATTATATAAGATATTGCATAATTTAAAGAGGCGATGCTAACATGTTTTTCTAAACATATGAAGAAACAAATATCCTAATCATATAATACCTATCAATGTTACCAAAAAATCCCGCTTGGTAACAATTTTGACTTTCTCTCCCAACTTCTTCGTGCCAATCCTCAATCTCTCGCATTTGAATTTTCATTTTAATAATTTCGGATCCCATTTTATTGAGTTCTTTAATCAAATGAATTTTAGTTTGCTTTCTCTTTTTTGCTTCAATTCCTATCAAACTTGAATTTTCTCTTTCAAGTATCTCAATTAGCTTCATTCTTTCCTTCAACTCTTCAATCTCAATTACAACCGACTTCCCAACTCCACACACGATGCGATCATCTTCAATTCACTTCCAAAACCCATAATTATCAACTTGAAAGTTGTAATATTTCAAGTAAATAAAATATCAAATATATGGTATGCATTCTTGTAACAAGGGAGAAATTTCAGTAGTTAAGGACAATAAATACCTTCCAATATAGGCAACAAATGAACTTCTTTCTTAAGTTAATTTCGGTTTGTGAAATATATAGGCTCTTCTCCATCTTATGCTTGCATAAATGCGTCTTGAAAGTTGGGGAGCATATTTTCAAAACTTCATCCATGTTAAAGCTATTTATCATATTCATGGGTTTTCTAAAAGTTATGCAAATACGAGTTTGGATAATGTAGGTATGAGTTTTAATCCATCACAATGTAGTTGAAACATTTGTGTAGCAAATTTGGTACCAAAACCCATATTCATCAAAACAGACAAAAATTAAAAAGCAAATAAAAATGAAATTAGAATAGGTAGAGATGGAGAGAGGAGAAGCCCTATAGTTGAAGATTTATGGGAGAATGGGTCTTTGTTGAAGATTCATGGGTTTTTCGAAAGGCATGCAAATGCAAGTTTAAGTTTTGGTTTGAGAATTTTATGAGGATAAAAGGCGCCGGTCGAAGAATAGAAAAAGATTGGAGTTCTTGTTCGTCGTGCAAAGAAGATAAGAAGATTAGGGTTCTTGTTCTTTGAGAAAAGAAGAGAAGATGATCGAGGATTTGGTTTTTTATGAATTAAATTGAATTAGGTTAGTTAGTTTTATGAATTGATTTTCAATAAGTGAGAAACATGTTGTCCCCGCACCGATGAAATTCTAATTGTTATCCATGTGTCATCTTATATAGACTTTTATTTATGATGTCATTCTACGTGTCATGCAATGTAAGATGAATTCGGAATCTTAAATAAAAAATGACTCCCGTGCTAAAATAGTTATGAGAAGCATAATTCATATATTTTCTATCAACTTTTTAAAGAAAGTGTTAAAAAGATTAAAAAGTGTATAGTTCGTGCTTTTATGATACAATAAGCTTATTTAAAATCCATCAACCTTATAAAATGGGTTGAAGAAAATTGTTCAGATATCAACATGGTTTGTTGGTGGATGATAAAAAGATAGTTAAAATAAATCAATTTTGAGTTGATTTTGTTAGGTTGAGTTTATTTTGTTCTCTAATCTCAAGATAACCGGTTTAACATCATAATAGACAATTTATACATGAAAAAACTTATTAAAAACAATCTCAACTATAAATAAATTGATCAATTTAATATATTATATTTGTTGAATTAAAATTAACCATCTATAAATCACGTGATTTTTCATGTCGTTTTGGTGAACAAACTGACAAAATGACTTATTGGATAATTAAATAATGAGTTTGTATTCAGAGATTAAATTGAACTATTATGTATTATATAAGGACTATATTATATTTTTCCCTAAAACAACTTAAAGCTATGTTACATGGAAAGAAACGCACACTGATAGGCAACGCACGCGCTTCCAATTTGACTTTGATAAAGCCAGAGACAGAGAGGCTGAGCCAGGCAAGACAAGGCAATTTTCTCGGATTGAAAAAGAAGAATATACGATGGGAGGAGTTGGTGGTGAATTGAGATACGAGATTTCACAAAATGCCTACATAAAACTAGTACTCCACTCTCTCAAGCACAAAACCTCCTCCGTCAATGGCGTTTTACTTGGCCGTTCCTCTGACGATGTTGTCCAGATCATCGACTCTGTCCCTCTCTTCCACAACCACCTAGGTCTCCTCCCCCCACTCGAGATCTCACTCATCATGGTAACCTGCTCGTATTATTATTTTTGTTTTTTCACTTTTGATTAGTAAAAGTAAGATCCTTTGTTAATTCAATGTAATTATCATACACTTATTAGTCATAATTTGAGAAGTTCGGGGATTGATTTATACTTTTTATGAGATGGGATTGATTGTTTTTGTTTTTTGTTTTTTTTGTTTTTTTTGTTTTTGTTTTTGTTTTTTTTTGGGCTTTTTTTATGGATTTCTTGAATTATTTGTGAATAGATAGAGGAGCATTTTGCAGCTCAAGGTTTGGGTATAGTGGGCTACTTTCATGCAAATGAGAGGTCAGATGATTTGGAGCTTGGTAATGTTGCAAAGAATATTGGTGATCACATTTATCGTTACTTTACCCAAGCTGCCATCCTTTTGGTATGTATTCATTGAATTGTTGATGACGATGCTTGTGTTTGTTTGTTGCTTACTGGCTTTCATTTTTCTCTGTAGTTAGATAACAAAAGGCTTGAAGCTTTGCCAAAGGGGAAAGATCGGCTCCCTGTTCTGCAGGTCAGTAACTTTGTCTCGGTTGTGTTATTTGGAAGATAATTATGAACTGAAACATCTAATGTTTGCTGGGAAGATTCAGCAATTGTTGGCACCATCATAAAAGAACCTTTGGTTGGCTATGCACTGAGTGGGAAGATAAATTATGCATAAAATATTGCATTATTCTTCTAAAACCTTTTCTGAGTGTCTTTAGAACCACTGCTTTTTCCATATCCACATACAGGATTATAATTTATGGCCGGTTTGCCAGGGTCAATGGCATGCCTATACTCTCTTCCTCAGCGTACGATAGTGTCCAATTTATGTTGTTTTCATGGCGTTTTATCTACTGGTTTGGGTTGCTTCAGAGGGCAAGAGCGGGAGGAAGCAAATCTTGAGTGGCAGCAATCATAGAATGTTACTAATCTGGCAATCTAGGTTCAAACATCTTCGAGTTGTAAGGACATCTAGTGGCATGGACTGTGTGGGCACAATAATTTATTAGTTTTTTAAGTGACAAAAATATTTGATTTTGATGATTGCTTTAAGACTAATTGAAGAGCATAGAGGGGTGTATAAAAATGCTGCCACACATTGTTTCTCAAGAACTCTTGCTCTCTCAATCTCGTATAGAAACATAGACTTCCATTTCAAATTTAAATGCTTTATGTAAGTTGATAGCCCCAAGCATAGTCCTGAGAGCCAAAGCCTAGTCTAGCACTGAAAAAAAGCAGTACAATTCAAAGATTAGGTTCTTGGATGAGAGTATTCAGCCACCAAGCATTCCGACACACCCCTGCCATCTCTCTAAAGTATTAGCTGTTTGACATGGCTTCATTGCATAACCATTGAGTTAAAAGAGAGGATTGTGCTGTGTGAGAATTAGTTCTCTGTCATGGTTTATGGATGACTTTGGTCCTTGATTTGTTATTTATTTGGATACTGTTTCTAGTATTTTGGCTGTTATAAATTGTATGGTGTGTACTTTGTCTGAAATTGATTTGGGTCTCCATTTATAGTTAACTACCTCAGCTACTCTCTGTTCTGGGTGCCATCAAACTCTTCGCAGCTTGTGTTTTGAACAATTATGGTTTCCATCCTAAGATTAACAGAGAGAGTTAACTATTTCATCTAAAATTTAAAACAACATCAACCACCCCACCCACAAAAAACATCACCCCCCCCCCCCCCCCCCGCGCGGCGGCACAAACAAAGGAAAAAACCTTGAAAGAATTTCACTCTTATTCCATGAATTACACTCCTTTTGGAAGAAAAACTCATTTTTATTTGAAACTCATGCAACCAAGTCTCAATTACTTTTTTGAAGTAAAAGCTTATGTTTTTTTTTTTTTTGGAAATTCATCCCATTTATGCTTCAATATGTTTTTGTAATAAATCATAAAATAAGAAATAAAGGACATGCTTATCAATGAATGGAGCACACATTTTGTTTATTTCCTACTGATACTGAAATGAAATGGGGTTGAGTGAAATAAATGATTTTTTCTATTGATTTCTTTTAATACTGAATAGGCATTTTGCTTGTCGATTCTAGGTATTCATTATTTTCTGAGGGTTTATTGGATCATTTCATAGCATTTTGATCAAAAGTCAACTCAATTTCTAATGGTCAACTAACTAATTTTTAAAGAAGCTAGAAAGTGATATCATCACAAGAAAAATAGAGGAAAGTGCAAGGTTTTCAAAACACATGGGAGCAAATTGTAATTGCACCCAAAATAGAGGATGGTGGGAGTAATTAACTAGACAATGGAACATGATGTTTATTGTCAGATAGACAGATTGTTCATAAAGGGGGAAAGGAGAACGTGGTGATTTAGGGAAAGAAGTACAGGGGAAGTGGCTAAAGGGCTGTATATGTAATCCCAGTGAAGTTTGATTAAAATGAACATGATACTTGGTGCAAAAGAGCAGGCTTATTCGGGGATAAGCATGAATCAATGTTGCTTAGTCAGTTGCATTAGCAGGATATCATGATTCATAATATCACAGTTCGCATCGCCTGCATTTGAGAATTTAATCATCATTTTGTAATGCAGTGCTAACCCAGCATATAGCTGCATGCATCAATCCTTGTTTGTCTAAAGAAGCTGAGAGTCTGCTCTTTGACTTGTGAGGTGATTTGTTTTCAGAAACTGTTTGGAGCTGTGACTTGATTTATTGGAGAGTTATTGTCCAACTGAGGTATATTGAATTCTCCTTGTGGCTGCACACTGGTGTGTTTGATAGGGAGGGAGGTATGCCTCCTATGAGTCTTGACAGGAATTACCTGTTGCTAGGTTAAGCAGCAATAAAAAATAGGTAGCATTTAATTGTGGTGGATAACAGGTGGAAAACAATCCATGTGGGAAAATTAGGTCCAAAACAGACAACAGTATAAACTTGTGTGCGTAAGCATTGGTGACTTTGATATACTCTTTTCAGGAAAGTGGTCTAGTCTCAATGCCTGTGGTTCAAAAAAAAAAAAAAAATGTGGTCTGAATCTCAAAAAATTCATGAGCCACTCTGTTGGCTTTCCATTTGCAATGAGAGTTCTGTAAAAGTTCCAGGGAGGTAGCCAACATGCAGATGTACTCTAGCAACAGAGTTCAATTGATGGTTGTTCTTGCAGCAACTATTAGATTATCATTCTCTACCGGAGGCCTGTTTAATCTGCATTTCTTACTGCATGGATTCCAAATGTGTAATCTGCATTTCTTACTGCATGGATTCCAAATGCAATCGCCTTTACTTTTGTGATTCTGGAATCCTTTTAGCTTGTGAACCTCTGGTTGGGACTATCTTAAGAAGTTCCCCTGTGCTTGCGAATTGCGCATATCAATCCTGTTTTCTGAGCACCGGAGCAGATAGTACCATCTGTATGAAGCTTAAAATTACCTTCTGTTGGGGGCATTCATTTCTCTTTGACTAGCTTTTAAACTCTCCTTTAATCTATCCCGTGCATGCCTCTATTGATGATAACTATAACTCTACTTAGATGCCAGATATTTAATTGTTTAATCCATTTTTATTGATTTATAGATATGTTGATGGAATATCAGTGATCATCTCTTAAATTACCTTTTACCAGATTTGCAACATGTTTTATTAAGTGTTTACTGATCCGAGGTCCTTTCATGCCATCAGCAACATGATATGTTTTTGCACTTTTCTTTTGAGAATATCATTAATTTCTCAGTTTCTGCTTTGTTAACATTCCCACAGTTACTTTTGTGATTATTCTGTTATGGTTCACTGCTATGTGCAAAATTTAAACCATCTTGTCCCTCTGCGAGCCTGCCAACATCAACTCTTATCACTTACTAATTGATTGATGAATTCTATTCTGATGGTCCCATCAATTCTTCTTTAATGAATTTTCAGTCAAGCAGCTAAGTACATTTGTTCCCTTCTTGTACTAGCTTTATACAAGAGATGCATCGAAGAACTGGAAGCTAGCTGGATCAGATGGAGGGTGCCGATTGATAACTAAGGAACCAGCAGCGAATGCTGTTCTATTGGATTACATTTCATCCAAGAAGTGGGAGGATGTGGTAGACTTTGATGATCACCTTGATGACATTACCAAGTAAGCATCATATGCATGTGTGGGTGTGAGTTGATGGTGTGTGCTTCTGTTTGCATGTACATGTCGACAAGTTTAACATTAAACACTGCTTTGTGCATTATTGATTCGGAAATCATATCTGCAATTTGTTATTGTATTTGCAGGGACTGGCTGAATCCAGAACTCTTCAAGTAAAGTTGGCCCCTGCCATGCATTTGGACCAGACGAAAATTTAAATGTTAATGATTTGGATGAGAATTGGGCTTGTGGTTGCCATTCATAAGAAAAATTTTGCAGCGATATGTCAACTATCTTTGTTAAATTTTGGAGTTTGGCAGATAAGGAACCTGATATTTTCTTCTCACAAGTACTGTGTTGAAGTTATAGTTTTAGAAGTGGAATGGCTGCAAATTGACTGGATATGTAGTGTGCAAGGTGATTTAGTGCTTATCTTGATGCTATATCATGTTTTCTTTTCTCAATTCTCAGAGCATTCGCCTTGATACAATTCACAAAGTATATTAGTATTGGTGCGGTAGGGCTTGAAAAAGGGTGAATTAATACAAGCTAGGAGTCGATGTTTGTTCCCAAATCCCAACTCCCATGGATGCGTAACGCCTTGACTCCCCTCTCATGGTAGCCATTGCCAAAGCCAAAGCCAATTCACTGACATGATAACTTCTTAGGAGCGTCAGTTTCAGTTTGATGGCAACAACCAGGATGGTTCTTTTCTTCCTTTTATTTGATCATTTCATGGTAGGTATTCCATCCAAAATCACACTGATTTAAGGATAATTTTTACCCGTGACACTTGGTGTATCTTTCTTGTCTAACAAGTGGAAGGGGATATACTTTTTTTATCCGGATCAAAATAATTGTATTTTAATCGAGTGATTTTTTAATAAAATAAGAAAATATACGTTATGATTGATAATTGATTGAAATTACCATGTTTATTAATTGTGCTCTAATCGAGTGGTTTTTTCAGTAAAGTAAGAAGATATGCGTCTTGATTGATTGTCCCTCGAAATTGTTCTGATCATAATTGTGCCTTAGTCAAGTGGTCTAGAATAAGAAAATATATCACATCATAATAAACCTAAAACTAAACCTATTTGGTGTTCAGATGGTCCAATTCAGGGAAGGAGCGAGGGAGCTAAAATCGTTTTTTCAGTTTTTTGTTTCCCACCAGACATGCTGGCCTCCAGCTCTCTATCTTCTTCACTTCATTATTTCCATTCTCCACCATCCCCCACTTTCCAAAACCTTAAAAGCAGCAGTACTAATGATCTCCTGCTGATCCACAAATTCAACACTCCATTTGAGCTAAAACAACTCCACGCCCGCCTTATCAAAACCAACACTCCTCTCTCTGTTCTCCCTTTAACCAAAGTTGCTTCTGTTTGTGCTCTATCCCCTTCCTTCTCATATGCCCGACATATCTTTTCTCATCTACTATTTCAAACACAACAAACCTCCATTTGGAATTCTTGTTTAAGACATTTTGCTGAGAGTGATTTCCCTTTTAATGCCCTTTTATTGTTTTATCAAATGCGTTTGTTCGATGTCTTGCCTGATGCTTTCACTTGTTCTTTTGTCCTTAAAGCGTGTCTCAAACTATCTGATGTTGTGAACGGGAAAACCATTCATGGTTTTGTTCACAAACTTGGGTTTGCGTCTAATTTGTTCTTGCAAAATATGATCTTGAATTTGTATGGTCTATGTGGGGAGATGGGTGATGCTATGTTGTTGTTTGAAAAAATGCCCCAACGAGATGTTGTTACTTGGAATATAATGATAACCCAGTTGGTAAAGAAGGGAGATATTGAAAGTGCTTATGGTTTTTTCTTGCGGATGCCTGAGAGGAATGTTAGGTCATGGACTTCGATGATTTCGGGTTTTGTTCAGTGTGGGAAACCTCAAGAGGCTGTTGATTTGTTTATGAAGTTGGAAGATGAAGCGGTGAGGCCGAATGAGGTGACTGTTGTTTCTGTTCTTGCAGCTTGTGCTGATCTTGGGGAGCTAGATTTGGGGAGGAGTGTTCATGAGTACTCGAAAAAAAGTGGGTTTAGGAGAAATGTTCATGTTTGTAATACTTTGATTGATATGTATGTCAAATGTGGATGCTTGGAGAATGCCAGAAGAGTTTTTGATGAAATGGCGGACCCGACTGTTGTGTCATGGTCAGCAATGATTGCTGGGCTTGCTATGCATGGAGAAGCAGAGGAAGCTTTGTGGCTTTTCTCTGAGATGATCAAACTAGGTGTGAAACCTAATGGTGTTACTTTTATTGGGCTCTTGCATGCATGTAGCCACATGGGATTGATTGATGAGGGTCGTAGATTTTTTGCTAGCATGACTACGGATTATGGTATAACTCCACAGATTGAGCATTATGGCTGCATGGTTGATCTTTTTAGTAGGGCAGGGCTTCTTCAAGAGGCTCATCAGTTTATCATGAGCATGCCTATTAAGCCAAATGGAGTCGTGTGGGGGCTCTCCTTGGTGGGTGCAAAGTTCACAAAAACATTGATTTGGCTGAAGAAGCAGCAAAACACCTTTCTGAATTGGATCCTCTTAATGATGGGTACTATGTGGTTATATCAAACATTTATGCAGAAGCAGAACGATGGGAAGACACAGCAAGAGTGAGGAAGTTGATGAAAGATCGAGGGGTGAAGAAGACACGTGGGTGGAGTTCAATCACTGTTAATGGATTGGTCCATGAGTTTGTTGCTGGAGATCAGACCCACCCTCAGGCTGAGGATATAAGCCAGATGTGGGACAAGCTATTGGTTGAAATGAAGCGTAGAGGATATGCCCCTAATACATCTGTTGTCCTGTTGGACATGGAAGAGAAAGAGAAGCAGAAATTTCTGCATCGTCATAGTGAGAAATTAGCTGTGGCTTTTGGGTTAATGACCACACCAGTGGGAACACCCATTAGGATTATGAAAAATCTTCGCGTTTGTGAGGACTGTCATGCTGCCTTGAAACTCATATCAGATATTGCCAATCGAGAGATAATCGTACGCGACAGAAACCGGTTTCATTGTTTTAAAGGTGGCCAGTGTTCTTGTAGGGATTTTTGGTAATTTATCAAGTAGTAATCGAAGTATGGTGTAACTTATATCAATTCCAACCGCAGTTAGCTACAGTGTTTGTGAACATAAAATTTTATGATCTTTTTCCCGTTTTAGAACTTAAGGCAGTTGTGTAATCACCTCTAGAAGAGTTATGAATAGGACAGCAAGTTGAACCAAATAATACACCATTGAAGACTCAGCTTTGGCAGAAGCAAAGAGAGCACCGTTTCCCAATCAAATATTTGCTCAAAAAATAAAAAATAAAAAAAATCAAGTGCTGGAATTTAAAATGATCGAAGACCACATGTTATGTACAACTGCTGTGTCCTTCTATATGAGTTAACATCTTCTGAACTAAAGAACTTTTGAGCTTTGTCTTCTTTATTTCCCTTAAGCGGTACCAATCATTATCACCAGAACAAATTTTTCATATAGTTTCCTTGCGCAAGTTCCATGGTTTTAAACAATAAGAATTTCTCAATCTTCTCAAAGAACAGGGCATCCCTTGACCTCAATCCCTGGTGCTGTAGGACATTTTGCCAATGGACAATGGTCAGAAGAGTCTAAACCCCACCAGTTTGGACCATAGATATCCTTGGATTGAAGGGTAAAATACAGGATAACAGCCATGAAGGCAACACCAGCATCCAAAGCAGCTGATAAGATGTAGTTGTGCCTAGCCCACCATCCCTTGTACCTCTTGTAAATATAGTAGTTGAAGACAAATCCAACAACTCCCCAAGACCAGAAGTGCACAGTTCTTGCCGGTGGCATGCCTGCAGTGGCACTAAGGATGAGGGGCATGTGGATCAACTTGATCCATTTTTTCTCAGGGTATTTGCGTGCGAGTAACCAAGTTGGAATTGGGGCAAGGAAACCAATGAGGAACCACCAGTTTTGCTCCGGGTAGACACCGTGACTTGTGAACATTCTGAGTGGTCCTACGACTCCCCAAATGATCGAAGCATTGTAGAAGACCTCACCACCGGGGCAGGTCCATGGACTCCCATCAGGAAGCAAGTCTGGGTTACAGATGTCGGGAATAGTTGAGAGAAGCCACCATGCCGTGGCAAAGTAAACGGTTGAAGCAACTATTGTTCCAACTAGCTGTACAGGCAAGTAAGTAGACACAGTAAATTAAACCATATCAGTATCCAATATGAAAATGAAATAATAAACTTGTTGGAAGGCGATGAGCATAAAATATTGACCTGAACAACGAACATAGATTTGGGAGGGATCTTCATATAGTGCCCTAATTTGAAGTCTAGCAGAAAACCGAGTGCTTGTGACATGCTAATGTAGCCATACGTCTTGAAAGCCACATTAGCAAGAGGCTTCCCTGGGTAAATGTACCCAATAACCAATTCCGTGATCACATTTAGTCCGATTTGCTGCATATATCATCAACACATTTCATGAGTAATAATGGATATATATATATATATATATATATATATATAGAGAGAGAGAGAGAGAGAGAGAGAGAGAGAGAGAGAGAGAGTTTCAAGTATAAACTTGTAGGGTTAACTGTGCTTGTGCACAACAAATATACAAGACAGGATCATACCGAGTTTGTTGTCGCCTGAACTACTCCGACGGGTAAGGTGAAAAGTAGTGCAATTAAACAAGCTAAGAGAAGTCCCCACCAAGGTAGTTGAAGCTGTTTGCCAAAACCTTCCACAGCAAAAAGCGCAAGAGCAACTGATATAATCAAGATAACAGTGAACCACCATTGAGGGACAACATCATAGTTCTTCTTCATAATTCTTGTGTGCACATCACTAAACTCGTCTTTCACTGCAGTTTTTGTCTTCTTCCACAGTTTCAAGATATTTTTTCCCTCAAAGAGAGCAACATGTGTAAGGGTTGATGTTAGAGCTGCAAAACTCAATCCATATACGAAGGCGAAGAAAATACTTAGATAGAGTTTGCTGTAATTGTGATATTCCGTTAGATTCATGTCGAAAGTTTTCTCATTAAGAACTCGGGTTATGTTGAACGGCTGACCCATACTATCATAAGTGTGGGAGGTAAATATGGGGAATCTCTTGGCTTCACGAAAGTTGGACCAGTACGCTATGGGCACAATCACATACATAAACAAGATAAAACCAACCATGGTGTTGGCAATGGCAAAGAAAGGGTAAGCTAGAGGACTCCCCAAGAAACCAGCAATAGTCGACCAGTCAATACCAAAGGAGCCAATTCCAAGGCCATTTAACCCAGCACCAATCTGTTGAGCAGTGACCGAGTCCTTCCATATCCAGCAAACAAAGGAGAGAGCGGATAGCGAAGGGAAAAAGTGGCCTGGAACAATATAGTAAGCAAAGCTTGAAAAGAAGACAATGGCAAAGAATTGCAGCCTTGTACGTCCTCCCTTTTCTCTCTTTTCCTTCTCATGCAATGCCCTGCAGTTTGCATAAATATATATATATGCAACATTAAACAGATGTTTAATTAACAGATTTTCCATACCAAGTTTTTTCAACGTAAGGGACTGAAGAAACATCAAATCTCGAGAGAGCAGAAGTAGGCACCTGAATAGAGAGACTTGCACCAGCGTTGCAGGCCACCACATGTAAGGCGAATCTACAAGAATTTTTCTGAACGTGCCAGCCCATCCATAACCAAGCAACTGAATTTCATCAAGCGCAAGAAACATCATATGTGAGAAATAAGAACATTTCTTGATGCATATATATATATAAGAATCATATAGGAAAGCAAAAACATTAACTTAAGGTGGCAATTAATGATTATGAATAACCAAAGGGAATATATGTATGCACATGACATGCTAATTGATCACACATATGCGAAAAAATATTATACCTGAGTGGTTTGTGCTAGCAACATAGCGGCCACTGGATGGAGCCCCTTGTGGTAGAAGGCTTTGATAATTGTAATAATGTATACTGCATATACACTATTTGCTCCACAGTTGGCAAATATGGTGATCAATACATGTTCTTTCAGGTTGAAAGGCCCCGGATTCAAGGAAAATGACCATTTTGTAAATGGGACATGAATTTCTTTCTTTGGGAACGTTGAAGCCATGAACTTTCCAATGGGGAGAACAAGAATTTGTGCCGTAACTGAACCAATAGATAGCTGGTTTTGGCGAAACTGGAAGAATTGATTCACAAATGCAAGAAGGACGCATGCTGCTATCCCAAGAATCCATGTTCGAACTGTTAAGACTGCCTGTTTGGGGTCATCGGTGATCGGAACTGTGAGCCTGACTTCCTCAATTGGATTATCATCCTCTTCTTCAGCTTCTACAGAAATCAACAACCCATAAACCATGTACTAATTAATAATAATCGTACCTAAACCAACCATGCACGCTAAAGATATATTATTTAGATTTGAAAGATTAATTATTTTTTTCTGACTTAGCTCTCTCTCTCTCTCTCTATATATATATATAACAAATTTAGAATGCAATGCCAAAATATATAACACTCAAATTGTATTTTTATCTTTCATATTTGATCGATGAAATTGATAAATAATTTTATGGATGTAGATCTCATATTCATGAAATAAAACTTTTGATATACTTAATAATTTTTTATTTTATGCATATCCATAGAAGAAGACAATGTTGATATTCTGTGTATTGTGTTAGTTCATCAAATATTTTCAAGGAGAAGAGAAGAAACAAATATGTGTACCTGCTTTGTCAATTTCGAAATGCAGCTTCTGCTGCTTGGATGGGGGGACTGCTTCGTTGCCAAAAGTTGCCATGGTTCTTAATTCCGGATCTCTCTCCTTAATTTTTCCAAGGAGAGGAAGATCTGGAGGAGATTCCTAGCTAGTCCCTTCGTATGAATACTAGGATAGTACCAACATATTTATACAGAAATACGCTGTCCTTATTTGTCGGAAAAATTCTTGGGCTGACCATCTTGCACCCTCGCAAATTAAAACATACGTGGTCAAGGAATCCTGACCTAAAAATAACTGTCAGACAAAGTTAGTAAACTTTCTTATATGCATCTAATTCAATATCCCACTCTGATTTACTACATAGCACTACTAATGAATCCTTCATCAATTTCTGACTATGTTCTTTCTTCCCCCTAATTTTGCGTAATTAACGTGCAATAGTTACGGCTAAAATTAAACTAGCTAGGTCAATTATATGGAAAAATTTTAAAATATTTAATGAGTAATTAATAATAATTATTTATTTTAGAAAAAGAGGTAGACACGAAATTCTATAAAGGAAAGAAAAAACTACAAAAAGAGAAAATCTTAGACTGATGCATGTACTTTGAAAGAGAATGAAAGATACAAAAATCAACTTTAAAGAAAGAGATAAATATAAAAAGAGAAAAAAATTCAAGAATGACGTACTTACAAGGAGGATTCCAAAGATGAAAATACTACCAATTCAGATTCTAGTCAAACCATGTATATGTTTTTACTTCTATTTAAAGTAGGGCCAAAAAATAGAAATATATATACACACAGGATGCCTTGTTATATATTAGTTGGTGTGTTTACGTGCTTTAATATCTCTAGTAGTGTAGGTAGTCAGGAAGTAAGAACACATACATAGTTTGACTAGAATCTGGACCGGAGTATTTTCATTCTTGGAATCCTCCTTCCAAAATTTAAAATCCAACTTTAACCCTTTATTTTATTTTTTTTTATAAAAATTACGAAATTTAAAATCGAACATTTTCTGGGATTTCCCCCCAAAATCTAAGCCTTTTTGCAAGTTTTTTTTCTTTTTCTGATTTTCATGAGTTTTGAAGGAAAAATCACCCAACATAAAAAATAATTAAAGAGAAAAATGAAGTTCAAAAGTCTGAAGAAAGAAATTGAGAGAAAACAAAACGAAAAAAAATCGAGTAAGGAACCAAGAAAAGAAAACGAGTAGGGAAATAAAAAGAAAGAAAAAAATAATAATAAAACGAGATGAACTATCCTAATATAGTTTAATTAGGCCTAATCTTATACTACAAGATAAATGTCATTTAGCGATGGGTCCGCCGTCGCTAAATAAAAAAACCGTTGCTAAAACGTTTTAGCGATTAATTAGCGACGATCAAGTAACCGTCGCTAAAAAGCTCTTCTCGTGTTTTTTAACGACGGTTTGGACCATTGCAAAATTAACGACGGTCTAAAACGTTGCTATCCCGTCGCGAAATGTCGATGTAAACGGTATGACATTAGCGACGATCTTTTAAACCCTTTGTATGCCCGTTGCTAAATAGCGACGGATTAGTGACGTGTCCGGACCGTTGCTAAATTGTTGGCAACGGTCAATTTGGCAACGGTCCAAACCGTTGGTAATATTTTATTTTAGCGACGGCCTAGACCATTTCTAAGACCGTCGCGAATTGAAAAAATAAATTTATTTGCGACGAATAATAAAATGAGGTAAAAGTAACAAAAATCTCGTAAAATATTATAAACGTAAATTTTTATTATTCGAAATGTATTAAAACGTCGCTAAACAATTAAATTATTGTTAAATAACAAAAAATAGTACATGAGTTGTAGTTAATATAAGGAAACGGAAAAGCTAAAATAACTTAATGTCCGGGATCGGTCGAAGGTCGGGTGGAGTCGTTGTCGGTCTCGGGAACGGCGGATGAACTACCACCACACTTAAAATGCCGTATGAACATCTACTACATCCGTGACATCATCGTATACTGCTCGTCGACTATAGGTTTTCAACTCAATTGTCGTATCCAACAACGATGCCACTTGGCCCCGTAGGTCGTTCACGGTACCCTCTAAGTTATTGATGTGCGTCGTGTTTGCGGATGTTTGCTCTCGTAATTCCTTCAACTGTGCATCATCGACTGCATTGAATCCGGAAGTAGCGAGAAGATAAGCTCGCATTGACGGTTGAATAGTAGTGAGATGCGTATGACCCAAGTACTGTACCTCCTACTATCTCCTCCACCAATGGCCACTTTGAAAGATGTCATTAATGTCGGGTGCGATCGCTTCGGTCCCTTCCAACTGTCGGCTAGTAATCTCTTCCTCATTAATTAATCTTTATACGGTCTTCCGTATAATTATGAAACATGTCACATCAAATATGGTTGTCAAATAACGTTATTAACTAACGAGCTATTAAATAATATTTCAAAGTTATCACTTACTCCGATAACCCTCGACCATTGATCAACGAAGACTAATTGATCATTAACATTTCTCTTATGAGTCCTCAGAAAACCTCATGAGGATCGGGTTCACGACCCAACACACTATGCTTAAAACATATATAAATAAACGTAAATATATTAAATATAGTCGGATGTTTAATTAATTATTTTGGTTATTATTTTTTAAAAAATTATAAATAAATAAAATAATATATATTTTTTACCATGCGTATGGCATGCTCTCTATGGTCGCTTGATCCCCCTGTATGTCTAGAAGGACTAGCTTCGACTCCACCGGTCTCGCTCCTACGGTTCCGTGCTTGCCATCTCGGATCGAGCAACGGCCTCGGGTTTCGTCCATTCCGTAGTCTATGCATCCCATATTTCCTGTGAGATATATGCGGCTTCGGTTTTTTTCTTAGACGACAAAGGAAGTCGAATATCGCTTCAGTGAGAGACTTTTCCATGCTTTATTAACTATGCTCTCATTCAAATCATCATCCCACTTAAATGATTTCACGCAAAAAAAAAATAATAATAATAATAAACACTACTAAATTTACTTTCATATTATTTTGTACAATTTAATTAAATATTAAATAATATAATTAATCAAATAAATTTAGAAATTAGAACCTTAAATTCTTTCCGGTAAAAATCTTTTGTCTTTGGACTAATTTTTTTCCACATCCATCCTGAAGAATGAACGTACTCTTGGAATGTCTTAACGATCAAGCGAGAGCAAACATCGAGAGGGATACAACCTATAAAAAAAAACATTAATTAAATTCATAAATAACGGAGTACATAATAATGGTAAATACAATTTTTTAAATTAAATTAAGCATAAACCGTACTCATTACGCCCAACGACAATGACCCATACTCGATGGTCAACCACAAATATTATTGGTTTTGAAGTCGATTGACGCGAGACATTGTGGGGTGGAACGTGTTGAGGAACGGAACGGTTGTCCTGATGTGATGACGAAGGCACCGACAATGACGACGAAAAAGATGAGGGAGGTTGACGTGGAGGTTCAAAAGGCTGAGGCCGAGACATGACGGGCATGGAACGGGATGTAGAGGGGCCACCGGAAGAGTGGTATAGAGACATGTCCGGTGGGGGATCCATCCAACCGTGAGCGAAATGAGAAGGGTGTCACAACGTCCACGATCACCGTAAGACCGATCGATATCCGAACCATGACCCCTACCTCGAGTCATTATTACCTACATATTAATTATTAAATTCAATAGTTGTTAAATAAAATATGAATTATATAATGCATATATACTTACATATAACATTCAAATTAATATGAACTAATTGATTTATACTAAACAACAATAAATCATAAATATTTATTTAATTAATTCTTACCTTTAAAAATTATATGTTAACTATGTAGGTAAACATACGAATAAACCTAATTTTTTCCTAAAATTGTGATAGAACGAGGACGGTACCACGGAGATTTATTAAAATAGTTTGAAAAATTACACTTGGGGGACAAAACCAGCCTATCCCAACATCCCGGGAGGACAAGGTTGCCTAAATCCTTAAATTCGAACCGTAATTACATAAAATACAAGTGCATAATTTATGAATTGAATAAAAAAAATACAATATAAAATAATCCAATTGGATATATCATAATATCTCTAATCACTATCATTATCATCATTGTCATATTCTTCATCTAAGTCTTCTTCAACATCGGTTTTTAACTCCGATTCATTCTAAATATCTATTTCATCACTATCCAATTCTAATAATGCTTCGGTAGGATTAATCAATGAGTCGACCTTCATCATCATCAATGTGCATGACATTGTGTTGACCTTCTATTTCATTTTCTTGAAAGGGTTCGATATTGGTTTGATCGACGGTAACGGACATTTCGACACATCAACCGTCGGCCTTGGTTTAACCTTACATACGATCAATCAATCTCGTCGTATGCGTTTACATATAGGATATGTTACATAATACACTTGATGCGCTTATGATCATAGTATGAAGGGATTGGATCTATTTAAATACCTACGATTATGAACCTCGACTAGTCCATAATGATCATGAACTCGTGTATCGGTACCGAGTGTTGTATCATACCAATCACATTTGAATAAAACTATTTTCTTTATTGGTAAGGTTGGATACTCAAGTTCGAGTATGTCAATCAACCTATCGTAGTAGTCATTTTCCACCACACCGTAGCTAACTCCTTTAACACATACTCCATTACACATTGATGCTTTCTTCGAACCACCAATATCGGTATAAAACTTATATCCATTTATAATCTACCTCACATACGACTTCGTAGTTCACAATGGTCCTTTGGCCAAATCTTTAATATAATGATCCGTTATAGTTTTAGGTTGTGCTCGACTTGCTTGTATGTAAGGACCAAGTTACTTATTAGTTAATGTTATAATAAAATTTGATAAAATAAATTTATGAATATTTAATAACAATCTTGACGAGTAGGAATAATCACATATCGATGGAACCATGATACAAATTGGTTTTGAAGTCGAAAATCAACCTCGTTTTTCGATATGTCGAGGTCACTTTCATAAAGCTGAATGATAAAATATCCGATGATA